TGATGTTAATCAAGCAACAACAGAAAGACAGAAAATCACGCACTGCTCTTGACTGAAAAACTTTAGTAGCCCTAAAGATTAATCTAAATTTATTTATAGAAATAAATATGTCTGCTTGAAAAAATGAAGAATATGATAAACAAGTTGCTATAAAGAATTCATAATTAGCCTATATAACCATTGGTATTTCATTAAAAAGAAGACCATGTTCTTGTTCTTTATGAGCAGTGGGTTTATTTAATTTGAACATAAAGGCATGTTGTGTCACCGCAGTTAAATCGGTGTCCATCATGGTAAAACCTTTATATCAAACCTATGTAATGAGTTTGTAACGTTTAGAGAAATGCTTAATAATGCACTGTAATTAAACCCTTTAGATTTTAGCTGGCTAAATTTACTGTAGATTTAGTCGACTAAAATCTTATATTTAGTCGACTAAAACTAGACTAAAACTAAAAGCAATTCAGATTACTAAAATATGACTAAAACTAAATGGCATTTTAGTCAAAAGACCATGACTAAAACTAAATGAAAATTTGCTGTCAAAATTAACTCTGGTGGGGATCAAATAATGAATCATTAAAAAAGACACATTTAAGCATAGGTTTGAATTAGACACTGAACTGGAAAAGGTTCGTTGTCTGGTTAATGTCATTATGCATATTTTCCCTAAAATTACTTTTATTTTCTCTGTATTTGTATACTTACTACGTGAAGTATACTTAAAAATATACTTGAACTTTACTTAAATATACTTAAAATAAACTTGAAGTATACTTCTTTTGGGTAAGGGTACCTACTTGGCTGTTGTTGTTAAAGTCCTTCCCTGCTTCGCGGTGATAAGCTACTGCAGTTAAGATGAAAAGGTAGATAACATAAACGATAAAGTTGAACAAGAACATCCGTTTCGCAAATCTCTCCCACTTCTCTTCAATTAGTCGGTTAAATGGCTCAATATGGAGCATCTCGAGGCGATTCTGAAATCAGATCAAATAACATGTTGCTATCAACTTTTTTAAAATGAAACATTTTGCTTCAATGGAGTAGTAAAGTCTAATAATACATTTTAGATTCTAGAATGAATTAGTATCACATTAGTAGCATGTCATCTCACAGGAATCTCACTGCCATAAACGATTATCTCCAGCGCGGAGTTCTTCTCATAGGTGTCGAGAGAGGCGAGGTCATACAGAGACGAGCACACTGGACCGTAGGCCCACTCCGTGATCTTCCGTGACAGATGTCGGCGCCCCTTAAACTCCCGCTGCACGATGTGCTTTAACAGCTAATTGACAAATGACAATGAAATCTGAAGGCTCTTTACAAAATATACTAATTACAAATGATTGACAAACGTTCTGTTTAGTCCCTTGTCTTTGGCAATGCACTGATTTTAGTAATCAGCCAAGCCAGCAACAGCATCAGATGACTGTCACTGTACACTACATGACTTATGAAAAATTTTACACTGTTAAGGTGGCACAGTAGTGCTTCTGAAGTAACGTGTGTGTCTTTATACAGACTCTTTTAAAGCTGCTCAGAGGTGGCAGAAATGCAGCGATTACAACTGTATACCTTAATACTAGGAGCTGATGTGGGTCTGAGCTGGCATAATTTAGTCAGGCTTTTATGCAACATTGTGTCTTAACACTGAATTTTGAGCAGGCACAGAGAAGCCTTAACTCAGCTGTGTAAAGATGCCCTATGATGAATCAGTGTGGTGTCTGATTTAATGCCATGTGCTGAAGGGAAATAACATCTCACATCACATGAGGACTAATCATACACAAAATCAGGAACATCCAAAAACAGAAAACAGAACTGACACTTAAGAAATACACACTGCTTCAAACGAATCACTGCTTCAAATAAATACTGGTATTTTGCAAAACATTAATTGTTTGGACATTAAACAATCAGTAAACACCAGAAAAATTAAGGTTTAGGCCTACCCCCAGTTTTCCTGTTTTGGCGGCTAGTGTGAGTGGGGTGAGTCCTTCATTATTTTCAATATCCTCCAGCTTGATCTTGGGGTGAAGGTGGTCAGCTTTGATTAAGATGTGGTCATACATGGCGATGACAAACTCTGTGTTTTCAGGACTGTTATCAGCTATGGATACTAATGCGTGAAGCACTGTGTTTCCATGAGAGTCCTTCTCCCTGACATCCACCGCCTGGTAAGGGTTGTTCATAAGGAAGTCCACAATGTCTGGCTGATTAGTGCAAGCGGCCAGTGACAAGGGCAGCTCACCTGTGCACAAAATTTGTAAACGATGCAGGTAAGGTACCCACAAAAGTGGGTCAGTAACAATGAGAACATTAAGTAGAATTTGAAAAGGACGTGGATTTAAAATGCTGAATTTCTACTGTATAAATTGTTATCAGAATTATGGGTCATTCCACGAAATCGGTGCCTTTTGAATATAAACAACAATAATCAAACACAGAATTACTATAACAACAAAAAAATTTAATTATTATTCAAATTAAATTATAATGCTATGTATTCTTTCATCAATATTAAAGTCAACTAAATACTATTTTAGATCATTTAAATAACATTTTTATAAGGGTAAGTAATATGGGCAATTTGAAGGCAAAATACAAAAATCACATTTGCATTTTGTTCCAAGTATAGTCTCATTGCTGAGCAATGATTTC